TTTTGTCCCGCGCTTATTGTTACAGATGCGTCCTGCTTTCTATATATACATATATATAGAAAGCAGGACGCATCTACTACTAGTTTTCGCATGATTTATTTCTCTACAAAATAAAGTCTGACATTTTGAAGTATTAGCAGTACACACTGAAAAAGAAAAATAAGAACAAGCAGAAATTCATACATTTATGAACTGCGCTCAGATTGTGATTAAAATACAATGATCATATATGACACGAAAATAAACTTAATATACAGTATTGCTAAAAGAGCGTTCAATTCAGTAAATTACGGATACCTGACTAAATGCACTGAAACGCCTAACATAGCATCGTGAATCAGCAGGTTTCTGAGAAGCATCAAAACAAGGGAGAAACTATAACGGAGAAGAAAACACGAGGAATTCTCAAGATGATGCTCTTTCTCCACTGCTACTTGTCTCCAGCAAGGGACTACTCCCTTGCTAAGGGACCCGACAAACCATCTGCTTGGTTAGTATAAGATACCCAAAAGTGGCGGTTCTAATCGATCAGGGAGTGCACATACGAACCATCTGTTCATGAGGACAGCAATTACATAATCGCTGAGTGAGGGAGATCAGCATATCTGGCATGCCGAAGCATCGACCCATTCAGTAATGTTCAAAAAGACTCTCGGAAGCACTTCATTCGACCAACAGCGTTCATTTAACGACAGTGAAACAGTGCAGCCAACACAACAGAACCGAGCGCGAGACCAATACTACATACATAAGTATTTTGTCCCGCGCTTATTGTTACAGATGCGTCCTGCTTTCTATATATATGTATATATGTAGTATTGGTCTCGCGCTCGGTGTAGTACAGGACGCATCTACTACTAGTTTTCGCATGATTTATTTCTCTACAAAATAAAGTCTGACATTTTGAAGTATTAGCAGTACACACTGAAAAAGAAAAATAAGAACAAGCAGAAATTCATACATTTATGAACTGCGCTCAGATTGTGATTAAAATACAATGATCATATATGACACGAAAATAAACTTTGCATACTTCAGATCAGTGAAAACAAAGATCTCTGCTACCATCAAATATTAAAGCATGTGAGTAATTTAATTGGAAGCTAATGGAAAGCAAAACATGATCAAAATATTTTGTTCCTTTCCAGCAATATTTTTAATCTTTATTTTTCGTTTGAAAAACAGCTAAGTTTAAGACTCTCTACTAATATACCTATGAATATTAGTAGGCATTTTAAACTTGGCCTGTGTGAAGCAAAAACTGCTCTTTTGGTAATTGAAAATTTATATCATTTGAATATATAAGGGTATCAAGAAGGTCGTTACTACTTTCTGAATTTTATAAGTTCTCTCATATTCATTGCTTTCGATTTGAAAAATTGTAATTTACGACGACAAGAAATCATAAATTTCTTCTTCGGCTTAATTTTTGGTTGCAGTAATGACCGCGCGATCGCAGGTTTTCCAGCGTAGCATCCCACAATAAATGATATATTATAAGTCGATTCGTAAAGCAAAAACAGAAATGGTGTATCGTATCTAATTGCAAATGGTTGATTAGTAGATTGTAAATGACAGACATATGGATTCGTGGGAGCCTCTGTTATGTTTTTTGAGCACTTTTTCAACTGAAAAGCAATAAATTTCATAAATCTGCTTGTAGGAAATATATATTTATATCCATTTAAAAATTCCATTCATGCATCACTTTCGAGGATTCGTTAGTTTTTGAGCTTCAATAAAAATCATCACATTGAAAATGAATCTCAAATAAGTCATCTTCTTCATGACAGAATCCTACAATAATGGCTTCAAATTTTTGCTCTAAAATTGATAATTATTTAATTTTTTGGTACTCAGCTTTATTTCATTTAAAAGTCTTTTCTAGATGCAAAAATGTTGATTTCAAAAATTAAAAGGACAGCACACGTAAATATGGCCAAAATATACCATAAATCCAACGCCTTCCTTCGATAGTGTAATTGAAGCGAAATGATAACAATAGCTAATATTCAGCTTCTCATTAATTCTTTTGAAGATATTTTCTTCTTTTAATTTCTGCCAGCAATTCATCATATCAACCAGTGTTGCCCTTAAATGAAAATGCTTGAAGCAATACTGATTCTCAGTTAAGATTCTGTTAATTAAATGCCAAGTAAAGTTTGGTTCCAAGGTTATAACAAGTGCTATAGTAAATCCGTAATGTACTACTACTAATACAATGAAAACATATTTAAATTTTACAGTAATTGAAATGTGTGTAAGTTTTGCATGAAGAAATATAACAGTTCCGTATACCTAAAAAAAATGTTTATTTAACGAATCTTCTGATGTTCGAAAAATGTAAAATGTGAAATGTTTATATTGCTAAAAAACTTACTCATTGCCATTATCAGGTAGTGCCATCTGCGGGACTAATATAACGCTTGTCGTAACCTCAAAGTCTTTAAATAAAGTCGAAGAAAAATGCATGTAAAATCATTACGCACTGCAGCTCTATGTTCTTCCATATTAGTTATGGCAGGAAATTTGAATTGAGAGAGAATCATAGCTAATACAAAAGTAAGCAAATGAAAGCGACAATTTTGTGAAAGTCGCAAGCGAAAAGAATATTCATCCCACTGTGTCATGATATCAATTATTAGGAAACAATTTCATTGCAGAAAACTTAATTTCATTGAATATACTGCTTATTTATTTCTTATTACATGCCCAATTTGTTAGTATTAAGTTATTAGAAGAATAATTTAAAATTGAGCCTTATTATATTTCTTTACCTGAGAGTTCTTAATACCGGTCAAAATTTGCTGTAATTTGTTTTCTGTCAATAATTTTTCGAATTGATAAACTTCGCCTTTTCGTCGGGGTCGAATAAGCAGTAAATTTAGTCGCAAACTTTGTTTGTTACTATTCTTTTGTGTTTTTAAGGGTATACAACAGGACTGTAATGCATGTTTTATGAAACAAAAAAAATTTGACAGTAACTTGTGTTTTATAAAACCAGACACTATACTTGTTCAATTTTTCACTGAAAATATTGGCAGGTTCTTAGAATTTGTACACTCTGATAGGCGCAAATAGATGTTAAAACTATTAAAATATATGAATGTTAAGTAACTTCTGCAACTTAGAAAAGAAGATACTGATTAACTTCTTGTTCCATGTCTCGATAAAATCTTAAGCGACCTTTTATAGCGATATATAACTGTTTTGTTTGCATACCGTAATGCGTTTCAAACGGCTCAATATTATATTCGTAAACCTGAAAAATATGAACAGTGGTTTTTTACAAGAAAGCAAATGTATCAGAAAGCAGTAAATATCCTTAATGAATAAATCAGATTTAAACTGAAAATGGCATCAAATGAAATTACTTCTGCATGGAAATATTATGTTTGCAGTCGTTAAAATTTGCCTTCAGTACGAACAAATTAACAAAATCTGACTTCTAGTGCAGCAATACCAAACTTAGTATAAGTCATCAAAAAATTCTAATCTTGTCAGCATTCATTTCATAGTTGCAGAACAAATTACTTTAGAGTAATGTGTAATTCCAAATATCTTTAATAGGTTCAACATTTGTGAGCAAAAATATCTTCATTTTTGAAAACATTTTTGATAAAAAATTACTGATTCAAGCAGTACTTTAGCTTAAAAGTAAAAACTTTGAGTTAATGAAACGTTGACTTTTTCAGCATCCCAATTAGCTTCCAAAACAGTAATCGCGACTCCAGCCATGCTTGTTTGCATGGTTGGTGATGTTTCCACGTAAGTTATACGTGACCCACTTAGTTGATGGATTTTTTCCACGAATGAATCACTTTCTAGTTCTTTTATCTATTTTTAAATCAATTTTTTCGTTGATCACAGGTAATTATTCATATAGAAATTTTTATGAAACTAATATGATTACTCAAACCAAACTGATCATATAATCATTGGTAGTTACTTTGAACAGAATATTTTTTATGTTGATTGACGAATTTACAGCATCCAGTTATTGTTATTTTTAATTTAATCTTATCAATAATCAATATACAATACGACTAAACATGAATAAAAGACTGCATAAACTCAGTTTTTTAAGCAAAGAAAAACCGTTTAATTATAAGTATAAAATTTTCGCAGAAAAAAGGGTGCATGAAAAGCAAATTTATTATGAAAAATAGACAAAATTATTAAAAATTGGTCTTTTTTTGCTGTGAGAGAAAAATAACGAATGAAATTTACATTGCTTTATACTAAAAAGAGTACTTCTTTCATTTAGTGCTAAAAAAATTTGCTTTTGACAGATATGAAATTCTTATTCTTGAATGGCGTTTGTAAGCTTTTCTTGCTATCTAAGAAAACTGAGTAGAAAAGACACAGAATACTTTAATGATTGAATTTTGATTACCGTATTTCCAAATATATCTTGCAAAGTTTGCTCATAAGTGTTATTTATTAAATATTGTGGGTGAATGTATACATCAGAGACCAAAAATAAATTTGAAGAATAAATAGTTTTCGCTTTTTTATAGAACGGCGCTAATAATTTGTATCCTTCAAAGTTTTTATTTTTTATAGTATTAAAAAATTTAACTTCCTGTTAAAAACATTTAAATTTACTTTTATACAAATTTTTTGAAAACACAAAAAAATACATAAATTTATTAAATATCAACCTCGTGATATATTGTCCACATCTTTTTCTTTTAAGTGCAATAAATCTAATATTATTTTTCGCGTCCTTTCATTTGCACCTGAATTGAATTTTGACTTGAATTTATGAAATTATCATTCCAAGTATTTAATTAAAAAAAAATTAATGACTACGCTTCAATATTTTTCAGTACATATTAATTAATGCTATGCAGTGTTTGAATCAGAAATTTATCTTCACGTAGAAAAATATGGTTTCGAAAATTTGTATTATGATAATAACCTTGCACTGAACTAATTTTCAGTCAATTTGATTTTTTTAGGTACATTAAAAGTGATAAAAATTAGCACAACTGCATACCTAAATACAGCATATAAAGCAACGTTGATAGTGCTAATGGTGAAATTACAAAACTGAGTGTTTTTGGGCAACAAATTACATCAGAATTAAAGCACAATGCAATAAATCTAAAATTGTTTTGCAAAATTGTATTTTTCATTATTAATTATATCAAGTACAGTAATGAATAATAGTAAAAAGTGATTTAATTCGGTGCTGACTATCGAGCTGAAATCAGAAAGTTAAGCAAGAAATGAAATTTCAATTCTATACAATTTTTTGTAGATACAAATCACTGATTTAGATGCATTCAAACCTTAGAGCATAAAAGATTTAATTGCTTTTTTAAAACAAATGATATTTTGTAAATGTTTGCTCACAAATTACTTGTAATTCTTCTTCCTTCATGTGACATTTTATTGTCAAATATATTGCATGAGTAAAGGTCAACAGTGATCTTTTATTATGAAAAATATTTCAAATAATCATAATTAAACTTGAGAGAAATCTTAAAATTAACACATTTGTTAGACTTTGAAGGTTGACAATAAGGAAAAACCTTGTTTGCCAGTCATACCAAGGTGTTATGTATTGTTCATATGTCAGATCAGTTTGAAGCACTGGTTTCTTGCGACACCTAAATAATCGCATAGCAACCAGCAAGAATGAATTAAAAATTGTATAATGAAACCAATGCTTCCGATTATTTATATATTTAAATTACGTAACGGAAAAAAAAATTGTTCCGTCAATTTTTTTCTGCTATTACAAATCAGTATTTTCAAGGACTATCCATGACTGCCACACAAAATTCAAATGACATAATATTTGCTACCAATAGCAGCCATATATTAGCACTTAAAGCAATATTTCATTTGGCATTTTTTCAAAATGAATAATAGAAAATGACATATTACTTTTTTATGCTTGAGGTATTGCAGTAATCGTAATTATGGTTTGCTTTCAAGAAAGTTTAATTTTTTAAATTATGATTCGCACTGCTTAATTATGCATTCCAAGTTTATACTTCGAATATAAGTTGAATCATTGAACTAGTTTTATAAATTGCATCTAATTACTACTAGCCATGAATTATCCTGAGAATGTTCTCTGAAAGAATTTTGGTATTATCATTTCTAACGATAATTATGATCACTGCAATATGCAAACATTTTAATAACCACCATGTAACATATTAGATTCATTTTGATTCTAAAATAGTCTGATTAATTATATATTTAGGGTTTAATCCTGGCACTTGTGGTATGCGTTTGGGGGGACTCACTTCCTAACACTAATAATAACAATTTATTGGTAAGTTTGAAATTTATTCTAACGATCTAACTTGCAAATGCTAAATTGTTTTTTTTCATTTTGTAGTGGCATTTTTGCCGTTTATATTTTGTTAGCTTTTTATATTTTCTTTGTAAGCATTGTCTGTAATTTTTTATTCTTTTCAAAGAGTAAAAGTATGATTTGAAAGGACGTTAACTTTACGCTCAGAATGGATTGGTATGTTTAAGTCGTTTACTATACCTCATTATTAGAATCATCTTCATAGAAGAAGAGAAAGTATGCTGATGTGTTCACAAATCTAACAAAATGATTTTAGGGATGATTTTCAAGTACAGAATTAGTTCACTCATTTATAACGATGACTGATCCTAGCAAATATGAGACAGAAAGCAATACATGGAAAAATCCATCTGAAGTAATCGAAAAAAAAAGCCGACTAAACAAGTACTTGTTTATATTTCTTGTAAAAACTATATCCTTTTTTTGAGATGTATTACGGTAAACTGTTTAGCTCTGTAAAATGAATAATGAAGATATCATTTTCGGTAATAATAACTGCAGTAATGTTAGTAATGGAACTGAAAACTAAAATTTGCATACAAATACGACGCACTTTTATTATTGAGGAATCTGGTTTTATTTTGATCATTTAATTTTTGCTCACTTGTGTGAACAAAATTTTATTAAGTATAATCATTTATTTCAGAAGGAAATCAATTTTGTCATTCTCTTCATCTTTACAACAATTTTCAATTGATGGCAAAAGAAGTGACGAATCTTTACTGCGGTCTTCAACTTCACAAGATACTTTTTTGAGAAATAAAAATCCATTCAAAGTACTCTTTACTTTGTTCTTTTCTTTGTTTCGTCTTCACCAAATTTTTTCAAACTTTTACAGTACATTTGAATCTCATTAACTCTTAATTGTCACCTTTTTGTAAATGATTCAGAACACAAGCAGTACTGTTTTTTTAAAATTGTTTTTAAATTCACAAATTTTCCATTTTCCAGCAAATAGCTCCCAAAAGATTGTTAAAGCAGAAGTCCTTGTCTTATAAAAATGACATTAGTGATTTTCAACTGGAAATTGATTTCAATGAAGATAGCAATGCGTTACATGAATTTCCGGATAGTGTTTTTAATGCAATCCGAAAACCTCTCAGCACAAAATGGATTGAATCAGTGCGTGTTTGTTTTGCTAATTTTACAAGTTTATGTGGCGATTAGCAAGTTTCGCAACTAATAGTGCCTATTGTTAAAAAAATTTATTTAATTTTATAGTTGATTATAGTCTCGTTAGAGATAGATTATACTATCATTGGCACGTATTCACAATTATATTATGTTCACAATTCTGCAAGCAGAAGTAATTCATACATCATGCATAATGTACCAATTTTGGTTGCTGCTTTATATTTCAGAGCGGTTGTTCCTCATCAAACATCAGAACTAATAAGCGATCACTTCCAATTGATTTTTCCTGTATTGATGAATTCGTTACTTCATTGCCAAAACAGAATGTTGAGAAAGTAGATGTTGTAAAAACGGAAGTAGATTCACTTCCAATAGATTTTCGCCTTGGTGTCAAATTACGCTTAGAATCATCTGAACAATTTTTTTGGTTGGAAGACTCAGGAGTTTGTAAGTTTATGATAAGTTATATTACAACAGTGTGCTAATAAAATTTGACTTTGTCACTGTAGAATTAATAAATGCATTTATATTTTCGCCTTTTACTTATCTGAAGGCAGATTCTTAGCGCAAGAAAAGTAAATTAAAATAAGTCCTACTGTTTGCTTCTTATCATTTCCCTTTATTTGCAGCGAAGTTTGATGAAGCTATTGACTTGTTCTGTTCTCTACCTACTAAATCTACTAAGGTAAAGTTTATTTAATATTTTTAATTGGCAGCCATTTATAAGCTCTTACGTTTAGTATAGAAACTAACTGTATGTAATTGGAAAATACCCAAATGCATGGGAAGTTTATCAGAATGCTTCAAATTACGTCATCTGGTAGTTTTGATGTATTTGAGAGTGTAGACAAGTAATTTTTTGTAGTATTTTGGTGATGAAGCCATAGTTTTCGGAAATGAAATATTTCAGGAAGATTTGGAAAGAAATGAATTTGCTAGTGACTGTGGAAAATTTCTAGCTTGTACTCTTTATTGGCAGTTTCCGGACATAGCTTGGCAGCCTTCATTTCCACGTTTGAGTCAAGAATCCCGATTATTAACAAAAAATGCTTCTATTCCTAATTTATATGCTGTTGGTGATCAACCAGTTCATGCGCTGACAGTACAATGGTATTGTCTATCTATTCACTAGCGAGATTGTTCATGCTTTTTTTTTGCTATCTAGCAACATTTGTATTTAGACATATTTTTGAATTGGCTAAGTAATGTTCGGTAAAATTGTTTGTCAACTGAAATCTCGTGCTTTAGGTTTTCGTCATTTGAGCAACTTTACCTTTCGTGGAGATATGGCAAGCGTCCATATTTTTATGTTTGTTGTCCTTCAAGTACAATATTATTTTGGAAAACTGCAAAAGGCATCATTGAATTTGATGAGAATACAGGTCGGGAAGATAATGATTATAATTTTCGTGTGGTAATCACACCTACATTATACGGTTTTCGGCAGCAATTACGAGAGGAGGGTAATGTTTGTTATTTTATTTCACTTTTCTTTAGCAGCTGTCAGTGCTTTATTCAAGAACGTGTTCCAAATGTTTAGAGTTAATCTTAAGAGAAGTTTAAGTTTCTAACTAGTGGGAGCTTCATTTAGCAGTGTTACCAAATTATTCACAACAGATATGTATTTCACTGTTTTCCATTCTGTAAAACTTTTTAGTTTAGGTATCAGGTACCTAATGCCATTTCGCAATGCACGTCGATCATCGTCTCTACGCTCTCTATGTTTGACTGATAACAGTGGACTGGATCTTAATCAAAGTCAACAGTCACTAACGGCATGTAATAAGAAAGAACAATCGGTAGTGTCGTCAAATAGTGCACTATCTGAAAAAAATTTTAGTCTTGATTCTGAAGATGAATCAAAAGAAAATCAGTTTACGGTTAATAATACGTTCGAAAAGGAGGAAAATGGTGACATGGATAATCCAAGGTTAATTTTCTGAACTATTTTGTTTTCGCTCTTTATTTTTAAAATATAGTTCAAATACCTGTGTTTTATACGAAATATTTCCCAAACACAGTAGTCAAGTATCTTGATACGCTTCGTCTCTAAAAACCGCTTCTGCGAGCACCGATGACTTGCAATACTGGTGATTGCAGTATTTGCTTGCTTCTTCAGTTCTTGAAAGTTTCATGATTGATTTCAGTGGATGTAGTTTAGTGATGAAGCAGAGACAAAAGTTTGTGCAGGGGAAAATTCTCTGTAGTAATTAATTCCATTTTCTTCATACTAAAGTTTTGAAGACATAATGTGTGGTTCTAGAATTCATCGTACGTTGTATATATATTAAGATTGATTAATTTTTGATTTTACTTAACTTAAATTTTGTAGTTACTACCTTCTCTAAAAGTATTTTTCGTGCTTTATGTGTCTTGTTTTCAGTTTCGATGATTTGCATAGTTCGAATGATACTGATAATGATGAGTGGCTCAGAGGAATAGGCATATCTCCCAGAAAAAATCTGAAGATCACTCGGAAGTAGGTAGCATATGCGGCAGTTGAAATAAATTCATCTTATCTTACCATTTTTCTTGGATAAGTTGTTGATGTTTAATAATAGTAGATGGTTTATGTATTCAAATATTCTTGAAGGAATTCAGTGATGTCGTGCCGTTCTTTTGAACATGAATATTCTCTGTCATTACATCCAGATGCCGTAGACGAAAATAAGAAAAGTGCGATCGTTCTACGCGACTTAAATAGTATAACGGTAGTTTTTAATACCGTTCATTATAACCATTTGATTCTTCTTGGTTTGTCCTAGATTACTGTTGAATTAAGTTATTTGCATATGTTTTATGAAGAAATTATGATGTGAATAGCTCGATAAAGAGAAACTTTTTTTTGAGGCTCTTTACAATTTAATGACAACGACGAATTTTGGACGTGTTGCCACAGGTCCGCAAGCTGGTTTGCCTCCCACACTTTTGGCTAGACAACCATTTCTACATTCAGTACTAAAGAATC